AACCAGGCACTGTCGTTGTCCCCCAAGAGACAGCAGTGAGCAGACCACATTGTTAGCTGCTGAAACTCATTTTATTCCAGGAATAAATATGCCACGCAACTGGATGACAGACATAAGGGGAGAGAAACCAAGGTGAAGGGAGTGGGCACTAACAGGAGACGGGCTATGTCATATGAGGTGGTCAAAAGAAGGCCCAGATCAGGAGGAGGTCACATTGGAAATGTGAGCAGTCTTGAAAAGTTGGCTTTTCAGTCACGCTGAACACTTTCAGACCCTCACACCACTTTCAATAAATCCGGAGATGGAACAAACATCTGCCAGATGAAAGAAGAAACAGAGTAAAGACAGGAAACGTGAGTGATAAATCCACACCAATCCAGTTCCAGGACTAATTTATGTTCCTGGAGCATGTGGAGAAAAAAAAGTTAAAAAGAAAATCCCCACACGGAGACTCTTTGATGAATCACCAGTAGCTAATTGTCACAGCGCATCCCACAGGCGCGACATATCATTTGAAATCTGGGTGGATTTCAGAAGAGAAATGTTATTGCATTTTAAACAATACCATTAGCCAATCTGATCCCGCTCGCCGCCACGCACTTTGTTCCAGCCTTCCAGTCAAAAGATGAATTGCCGGATGGTTCCATTGTCAAAATGACAGCATGAAAAGAGAAGCATGTGGGTTGTAATAATAATGTGGTACATGTGTAGAAGGTCAGAGAAGCAGCAGATTAACATTCCAGGGAGAGATTTCCCCTGGGACACCCCTTGAAAGTACCAAAGGCCAAAGATCAGGACACTGATAATGCGTCCGGCGGTGGTGGTGAAATTGTTGTGTGTCTTTAGCTCTGCTGCGCTCCTTTCAATTAGTTGATGAAATCTCTCTTCTAGAGGATGAAGAAACCAACCACAGAAACCCGCTTCGGTGCAGATGCGGGGACGGAAATGAGGTTGTGTGGAAAGATGAGTTGCTTACTTCAGATTAATGAAATAAAATGGGACATGCTCCCCGGAGGAGGAGCAGACTAAATAATCCCCCACCCCAGAGATTGAAACCTAACATCTCTAGCATGACAGTCCTTCATTGAATTTTAAACCAATCTGAAGCTTGCAACCATTCTGAAAGGTGAGCTGGGGAGTGTGGGTTGGGAGAGTCCGGCATTTCTTTCTAACTTAAATTGATTTGAGGCAATGGCGGTGGAGGTAGGGGAAACACTCCGGCTCTGCAGGCATAGGCATCCGGTTTAAAGCGGATTTTGTAACTTACTGCTGTGGCATGGTGAACACCATTTTCCTGTTTTTAGCGTGGGAAAAGGTGCAGGGCCCACACATACGTAGGACTATTTGAAAAAAGTTGGCATTTACGAAGCATTTGCTGAGCTTGAAGCAAATGGGAGTTTACCATTCCGTTTGTCTCTTTGCTGGAAATATCTACTTCCCTTTCTCTGACGCAATGGTAGATGACTCTTGGGTGATTTGGGAGGCAGCAATAGGAAATAGCAAATCCTGCTTCTCTTCCACAGTATAAACCCTCTTTAAATGGAGTTTGGTTCTCAGCGCCCACATCAGACATCTCACAATCACCTACAGTTCCAGTTGCAGAGGATTCAGTGCCCTCCTCTGGCCTCAGCTGGAACATCCTCTGACACACACACACACACACACACACACACACACACACACACACACACACACACAAATAAAAATAAAACATATTTTTAAAAAGGGAGAGTGCCTGTTTTGCTTATTGTCAAAAATGAAGACTTCAGCAAATATGGGCATATTTATTGTGAAATTATAGGAAATAACATACAAGTGCTTTACAAGATGCAAAGGAGTATCGCAATAGTTACTTGGGAGGGAGTGGTTAAGCACCGTCTGTGAGGTGGGGATGTAGATTCCTGCTGGAAACCTTGCCTGGCACGATCAGGACCCCGGGTTCTATGACTTGGGGGAGGGGCGCGGTGTTGAGTGTGTCACTGGACCCGCTGCAAGGACTTCAAAGTCCCTTTCCGTCACTGGCACCTAGGTGACCTTCAGCAAGTTGTGTAGCCTCTCTGGACTGTGGGTTCTTTTCTATAAAATGGGTGAACAGAGCATCCACCTCACAGAGTTAATGTGAGTAGGGCTGAATTTCAAGTTGCTTAGAGTAAGGCTTCCTGATCTTGGTAATTCTCGATCTCTCAAAATGGCATACTTGTCACTCCAAGTACAGAAGCATCCTAAGAGGCAACACTGTTTCCTTCAGATGAAAACTTCTGTTGTGATTTGCAATACTTGATGGCCAGGGTTTATGTCAACGTGGCACAGGCTGGAGTCATTGGGGAAGAAGAGAACCCCAAGTGAGAAAATGTCCCCACCACACTGGCTGGTGGGCAAGCTTGTGAGGTATTTTCTTGACTAATGGTTGACAGTGTGGGTCCATCGCACAGAGGGCAGTGCTGTCCCTGGGTGGGTATTCCTGGATGGTTTAAACACTCAAGCTGACCGAGCCACAGACAGCATGCCAGTCTTCAGCATTGCTCAGAACTCCTCAGTGACCTCTTCCTCAGTTCCTGCCTCAGGTCCCTGCCTTGAGTTCCTTCTCTGCTTTCCCTTTATGATGGGCTGTGATCAGCATATGTAAGCTCAAACCCTTTTCGCCCGGAGTTGTTTTTGTTGTCAATGGAAACTCTAACTAAGGCATTTCATCATTTCTGGATGTGCACACCTGTGTGGTGGGGGGTGGGGGGCTAGAAGACAATCTTAGTTGTCATAACCAGATCGCACTAACCTTGAGTGTTGAGACAGGGTCTCTCACTGGCCTGAAGCTCACCAAGTTGTCTAGGGTGGCTACCAGCATGCACCAGGGTCCACCTCTCTGAACCTGTCAGATGCTAGGATTACAGTCTATGCCATATATCTGGCCTTTTTTCAATGGTCTCTAACTTAGGTCTTCATACTTATAAGACAAGCACAGACTGAGCTATCACTCCACCTCAACCATAAAGTTTTTAAGGCAGCTCCCTAGATAGCTATAAGGCAGCTTCAGACTGAACTGGCTTGACCTTGAACCATACTGAGAATGCAATTTGTCTGTCTTCTGAGTGAAATGTCATGCTGTAGTCTTTGGAACCTCTCAGAACCTGCAAACAGAAGCTATACCATGAAAGCTCCACTCCCTTCTCTCTTTTTTATATTTTTTTCCAAACTGCAGTTCCTGCAAAATCAGCCCTGTCAAATAGGCAATGTCTTGAGACTCCAAAGAAAAGGTCCATGAAGCTATATCTCAGTGCAGGTGTACCATCTGAAAAATAACATCTGACCCCTCTTAAGACTTTGATAGTCAGTGCTGGGGTGAGTTGTTCAAAGCCACCGAAGCACAAAACCTTGGGCAAAGCTCCCAATCTTTTTAAGATTTCTGGACAATGGTGTCAGCTCTTCTCTGCTCTTGACAATTATGACCCGCTCATCTCTGAACCAACAATAAAGTGGAAATGAGACAGAGTCTGACCTGGACCCTAAGAAGAGGCTCTCGAGGGCATGCGATGACTACCAGAAGCAGATGCGGGCTGATGGGCACACAGGAAGAGGATTAACAGAGTCAATGGTTGTTTGATGAATTTCTCTGCAAAGAGGGGCCTGAAGGACACTGGCAGAAAGGAACAGAGAACACATAAATGGCTGTGAGAAAGAGCCAAATGGCCTATTGCTGTTTCCTAAGAGACTGAATCTCCCAGGCTGCAGAATGTGCCACTGCTTATAAAAGCTCCCGGAAACGTACTTTCTTACCAAAATTCAAAGCAAGGCTACAAATCATCTATAGGAGACAAAAAACAATAAGTAGTGTCAGCACAGAGGAATATGTTTTACTTTGCCCTGCCATGAGGAATTATGGTGGGTTGTGACGAGTGGAATATAAAGTAACATAAGTTGCCTGTTGACAACAGAATTTGAAATTATAAAATGTAAAACCAATATATTTCCCCGCACACTATGAAACAGCTGGGGTATTTTTATGGCTTCTATCGAGATGCCATGCCGTCTCTCAAAACCCTATAATTCTGTAGGCACGTTAAGTGCAGTCTGTTATTTATTTTGTTTGTTTATTTGGCTTCAAGCGTTTCACAGGCAACATAGAACAGAAACAATTGTAAAGCGAACGATGAACCCTGGGCTGTGCTCATCTTCCCAAAGGACGAGTCCTGGCCCCCTTGTAGGGTGGCATAGATCTTACAGCCAAGGTGTGAGTATTCTTGAGCAGGACGCCATCTTTTTCTCTGTAGAGAAGGGAGTGGGGGGGAAGGACTCAAATCAAAAGTGTTGCAGGAGCATTTCCCACATGGCCTCTCCAGAATCCAAGTCGAAATTTAGTCTTTTATGAGCTTGACAGCAGTGGGTTCAAACACGATCTCTTTAAATGACAGATGGCGATAAGCAAGTCAAACGCTTCTTCCATGATGGTTTATGTGCCAGACTTTAGAGGTGTTGAAACTGCTGACCCATATTAATGCAGCGCACTGACCAAATGAAGGCGGCGGAACTCGGTGCCCAGTCTCCTAGCCTAAGCAATAATTAATTTTATTGTCTTCATTTTTTTGGATGCTTAATTTAAGCCCTGTGCGTGGGCAGTCAATCAGTAGTACCAAATACTCTGATTGCTTTCAATGACTTGGCCATTGTGTTCTTTGGGGGTTTTTAGACTTTACTCACAGATCACATTTTCAATGACTATTTATGGGCCGAACTCCTGTGATAGAGAATGGGTTGGAAATTTAGTGGGGCTCTGGCAGAGGGAACAGTGATGGATGCTGAATGTGTGGAAGGCTGCTGGGGCTGCTGCTCCATAGAGGGCTAGAAGGGTGGGGCCAATACTAACTAAGGGCTCTGACTGGGGCGGGGCGCTGGGGCGGGGCGCTGGGGCGGGGCGCTGGGGCGGGGCGCTGGGGCGGGGCAGAGCAGTGATGCCCTGAGATGGATCCCTGATGAAAGAAAGGAGTAGGAGCCGAGGCTTTTTTTTTCTTTTTTTTAACCTGGTGGGCTCAGGAATTTTGCAAGGCCAAGAGTCCCCCCTCACACAGCAGTTTGTCAGCTGTCAGCAGTGCCCGACACAAGGAAATCCCAAGGCTCGATGTGAGGCCGCCTGCCGCATCTAGCAGAAGTGCCCGCTTGTTTTCAGCTGAAAAGAGGAAACATCAGATGTTGCTTTTCAAACAAAGACCCAGTTTCATGCTTAACACCACAAAGATGACTTGGTTTTCTGTTCTTAGGGGGAAAAAAAAGCCCAAAAGGAAAAGAAGAAGAAAAAAAAGAAATAAAACCTTTGTTCTTTTGAAGTCAGAGCAAGCTATGTGAAATGAATTTTAACCAGGTTCTGCCAATATCTATCAGCACACAGCATTTCATAGTGTAGATAATAAGAGCCTGGAGAAAATGACAGGTGAGAAAGGGAATTCTGGAGACAAGCGCCTGAGTTTTCAATGTCCCGGTCAGACAAGGCCTGAGGAGGCCTTTCGGGATGGAAGTTGCGAAATTTTTTTTTTAAAAAAGGGGCATTAAGCCAAGAATTGGAAGTGGATGTTAATTTTTCTTTTAAAGAGGCCTACCCAACTATTGAAAAACCAAAAAACAAAAGCAAACACCTGCAGTTGGTACAGAGAAAACTAAATAAAAAATGAACGCAATATGCAAGTAGTTATGCATGGTACTCATTACATACCGTTTGGTCAGAGCGTTTATGAAGACCTCCTGTGGGTGAGACAAGGGGGTCAGGATTCCTTTTTGTGTAGATAAGAAAAGAAACCAAGACTCTAACCAATAAAAAAGACATGTCTTCCTCCCAAGACAGGATGGTAGGAGGCTCGGTGTGACCTCTGCGGAGGGGAGGGAGACAGGGTTGGAGAAATCAGCGGTAATGTAATCAAGAGGGCTCTGTGGAAGCTTTAGGTGCACGTACCCTTCTGAAAATAATGTTTTCTCGATTGCTTTATGACACAGGGGAGTTTTAAAAGACCTGGAAAAGCAAATGCTGCTGGTGATGAAAGACTGTAAGCACTAGGTCGGTGTTTAAAGCTGGCGGCTGTTTCTGGGACTCTGAAAAGAGAAGTCGAAAAGGCAGAAGCAAGTTCAATGAGCTGCTCTAATATGAGGTCCCCCCCGCCCCCGTAAATTCTCCACCAGGGGAAGTCGGGGTTAGGAACCATATTGCGCTGAGATTTACTGTGTATACATTAACCACTTCTGTATTTCCCCACAGTTTATCTTGTTCTATCCATCCCGGTCCCCATGCCCAGAGTTAGCTGTGCAGAGATTAAAAAACAAACAAACAAACAAAAAAACAAGCAAGTTAGATAAAGGAGAGGAAGGCAAAGTGGTAGAAAGGGTGGCAGGGTGCTCGTGAAGAGCAAGGCGCAAAGGAAATACTAATTCACCCGGCCCTGGGATTGTTTGGCCAGGATCCTCATTCCTCACCTACAGCAGCAGGCATTGGCACCAGGCTAATCTAAGACTCTTTCTAGACCCTGCAAACAAAACGCTTTCCATATTTATCCCAAGGATGAAATCGCCAACGGTGCATGCCTAACCTGGGGCAGATTTTAACTAGCGCACACAGAGAGCACTGATGACTTTAATTGCATTTTGTTGTATTTCCTATTAATCTTGGCATAGAATTGCTGGGGGTTCAGGCCAATGTGGAGGAAACAGCAGCTTAGAAAGTAATTATTGTGCAAGAAAGATTCCATTTTAAAACTTTACTTTAATCTCACCTCACACTAGGTATTAGGCTAGTAAAGAGGTTGAACGTTTCTGAGTGTTGTTCTTTGAGAGCAGTGGTTCTCAACCTGTGCGTCTTGACTCCTGGGGTGGGGTGGGGGTTACAGATCATATATTTGCATTATGACTCATAACAGTAGCAAAATTACAGTTATGAAGTAGCAATGAAAATTTATTGTTGGGGGGGGGGTCACCACAACATGAGGAACTTTATTAAAGGGTCTCGGTGTTAGGAAGGTTGAGGGCCAACCACGGTTTGAGACTATGTGTGGTTTCTCCACTCCATCACTTCCAAGTGAAAGAAGGTTTGAGTTGCCCAGTTTCTTAGATGACCTTGACATTCCTGCTTCCTGATATGAGAGGATGTAAAATGGTGGGAATTGAGGTTTTTTTTTTTCTCTTTTTTAGTATATAATTGTCTCCTTGGGGTTAGATCACTGTTCCATGCCTGGGTTATCACGGAGAGGTTGGCATTCTAAGCTATTCTTAGTCCAGGGTGACGTCAGGCGAGGGATGTGTGTGATTGAGACTTAGAAAATGCTCGTGGCCGTTATCCAGCCTGCTCTAATTGTCATGTGTCTGGAGACTTAGGGCCCCGCAGCCGTTTTCATGGTTTATACATACAGTAGCCTTCCTGTAAAGTACCATCTGCACATTCATCACAGAACCAAAGCCCTCTGATTCGTGTGTTAACATCTGAGTTTAAGTTGAAACCCTTATCAAATCCGTTCAGGACTCCTAAGTCCTTAGAGACTGTCCCGGCAACCGGGTCGGCAGCAAAGAGCAAAAGCCCGAAATACAGTAACTTGTACAAACTAAACCCCCAGGGATATGGCTCCACCTTAGCAAGGAATCCGTATAAGCTGGGACTGACTCCAGAATAAGCCAAGAAAATGAAACTCCTCCAGGAAAGAGATCCTCAGCTGGCTGCTGGAGGCAAGTCAGCTGCGCATGCGCACACCGTCTGCCCGCGATGTCCTTTCCATCCAAACTATTAGCATCGAAGCTTCTCCCACATCTTTTCTGCACCAATGATTAAAATAAAAGATTGAGGATTTAATGGAAAAAAACACAAATAATTACAGTTCTAGTCACTAGGCTTATGCTCATCCTGACACTGGATTTACTGTACATTTCTGGGGCAGAACATAGAAACAGACTACCAATTTCTGATCTAAAGAAATACAGACTAGAAAATAATACTCGATCCTAATTGTATGTTTTCATATGCTAATATAAACAGTACCAATTTGGAAAACTTAAGCATAGGAGACAATTTTGAGATCATTTTTTTTTAACATCATCCTCCATAGAGGAGAAAACTGTTCTAGAAATAGTTGCGTCTCTTCAACTCTCTAAAATTTCTTGAGTCTCTCAATAGATCTCAGACTTGTGTGTGTTTGTGTGTGAGACAATGCATATGGAATTATTCTGTCCTGGGACCGTGTGTGGATAAAAGGACTCAGGTTGAATTGTCGGACATGACGTCACCTTCTCTTGTATTCCCAGTAGAGGACACCTGGGTTGATATAATAAAATTTCTTGGATGTATCTGTTAATATAGCCAATGTTGTATACTTACTACTAACATTCCCAGAGCTTAATTTTTTGTCAACATCATATTATCAACTGTGGGTTTTCTTACCATTAAACATAGAATGTAAGAAAGAACAAATCTTGGCCTTGCTAAGTAGTAAAAACCATGTGGACAAATGTTGAGGCTCCAGATGATACAACGCTTTCTATAAATGCACAGGAATTCTTAACCAGATCTGAAATCATATCTAATATTCAGGAATAGAAATATTTTTCAAGATTAACTACATATATTAAGACGTGAGAACTTTTATTTAATTAGAAAACTCCATTAGATTTTGTTTTTTTTCCCGACCCCCCTACTTTGGAAATCTAACCAGTTACCTGCCATCTGAGAGTAATTACTAATGCCATCCACTTACACTTTCAGAAATGTCCTGCCCTAGGCAATAAATTAAACAATTTAATAATTGTTTACAATAAAAAAATAAAAAAAAGATGAAATTCAATCAAAGGATACATTTGTGGGAAAGTAAAAACTAAAACAAACAAGCATCAGATAACTGTCTCAAGCACCCAATGGCCAGGCATGATAAAAAGGCCAGGGGCAATAAAAACCAAGGCTTTAATTAGAACACTGTAACACAAATGGACAGTTGCCTTGCTAAAGCCGGAAAGCAAATAGAGTAGACATAGAACAGTAAAGAAAGTGTTGGGACATAAAAAACGGCAGGAAAAGTACCAACAAGGTCAAGAAAATGTGAAGCAAAAACAGTATTGAAGACTGGAAAAATGTTGATGCCCTTTTTGTTACAGTGAAATAACAGGGAGAAGATTGCCTTGGGGTTTAAAGTGAAGAGTCGCACTCAATAAACCGCTCTGCTTTGGTTAGCCGACATCCAAGAAGAGTGTTAAAATACAGTTGGCTACTTTGTCATCACGTTTTAATTGTGTGTGTGTGTGTGTGTGTGTGTGTGTGTGTGTGTGTGTGTATGTGTGTGCACATCAAGCATATGCCATGGCCCACATGTGGACAGAGACCAACCTTGGCTCCTCACTCACCTTGCCTGAGGCAGGATCTCCTCTGCATTGTTGCATATATCAGGGTGGCTGGCCTGTGAACTTTCGGAGATTCTCTTGTTCCAGCCTCCCTCTCAATCTGGGAGCACTGGGATCTCAGGCCTGTCACTGGGTCTGGCTTTATGTATACTATGAGAATTTGAAATAAGGTCCTCGAGCTCACGCAGTAAGCACTTTACCCACTGTTATCTGCTCCCCAGCCCCTGCCGGTCTTGAAAATTCCTTCTAGCAGCAGCTGAAGCACTGTTCCAGTTTACCTGCATTCCTCTGCCCAGTGTGACCTTTGCCTGGTGTCTGGAAGCCAGTGTTCTGTACATTAGTTTTGTTTTGCTTTTATTGTGTTAAGTGATAGGGTAAATTTGATCTTTTTTTTTCTCTCTCTCTTCATGAAAGCAGAAAATCGTTCCTTACTTTCTTTTGATTTGTACAGTTTCAGAGAAGAGAGATCAGCCCTCATTCTTGCTCTATTTCTTTGGAGTTTTTTTTTTTTTTTGTCTCCAGCTACTCAGAGGGTTTCCAGGGCTGGGCTGATTGGAAGCAATTAGATGTTCACGTGACTTTGCAGGGTGTTCTTTAGACTTCATTTTCTCAGTGCTAACTGATCTTTCAGATCCGTAAGTTTGTAGTTTACAGCAGATCCGGATCATTACACATTTAAATATTTTCATATCGCCCCTTCCCAGGGCTGTATTTACACACCCATCAGCTTATTGCTATTGTGTGATGTATCCCGAGGCTATGTTCATTTCTCTATAGCCTTTTGCTTTTTTCACCTCTGTTTATTTTGAATAGTTATTATTTGATTTTAAATTCACCATTCTTGTCTTCTACAGTGTCTAACTTGTTCTGAATTCCTTCTTGGATATTTTTCACTTTACTAAAATTTTAAATCCCCATTTGAGTTTTTTATAAAACATGGATTTATTTCTATGGGATTGAAGACAGTTGCCAGTGTTTCTCAGCTAATTTAGCAATAGCACTCATTTATATGATATTTATTTTTAATCACCATACAAAGTGACAGGTTTCCTTGTGACATTTTCGTACATATTTAATTTTGTTCTTTCCCAGTCCCTGGCTCCCCCCCGCCCCGCATTTCCTAACCACTTGTACTGCTGTCCCATTTCTACCTTTCAAATCACATGTATTCTAAAAAAACCTTCTCAAACCCTTGTCTTGTCCCCTTCCCTGGGCTGTTTTTAGTGTCCTGACCTTTGCCCACACTCACTCCCACTTGAATACACATATATAAAAATTAGAAAGTAGGATGTGTACACGAGACACAACCAGCAATATTTGTTTAGCTCATAATACAATATTTCCCAGTTACACCCGTTCTCTTATAGTTTTCACATTTTCATTTTTCTTTACCACAATAAAATTTTACTGTGTGTGTGTAATATATTTTTATTATCCATTCATCTGTTGATGGAAAATGAGGCTGATTCCATTTCCTTGATGTCATGAATAAAATGGAAATAAACTTGACTGTCCACATAGCTCACTGGCAGACTATAAAGTCCTTTGTGTATATATCCAGGGATGGTATTGCTAGATCATATGATATATATGTATGTATATGTGTATATATACACATATATATGTATATGTGTGTATATGTATATAGATATATATGTATGTATATAGATATATTTATAGATATAGATAGATAGATAGATAGATAGATAGATAGATAGATAGATAGAATTGTTAATTTTTAAAAAAAATAAACTTTCGGGGAGGGGGGCAGGAGCGGGGAGAACAAGGGAATCCGTGGTTGATATGTATAATGTTAAATTATATTGTAAAATAAAATAATAAAAAAATAAACTTTCACACTAATGTCCATAATGGCTATAGCAGTTTATACTCACCAGTAAATGCTAAAGATTCCTGTTTCTCCACATTCTTGCCAGCATTTGTTAGCATTTGTTTTCTGGGTGATAACCATCCTGACTGGACCAACCTAGAATCTTAGTTTATTGCATTTTCCTAATGAGTAAAGACGTTGAGCGCTTTTCTGAGTATTCACAAGCCATTTGCATGCCATCCTTTGAGGGTTCTCTGTTTAGCTCATCGGACCATTCACTGACGGTTGCATGGGGTTTTTTAATGTCGAATGCCTTCGGTTTTCTCTACATTTCAGAAAGCATTTCTTTGTAGAACACCTGCCAAAGATTTTTCCCACTCTGTAGCTTGTCTTTTCACTCTGTGGAGAGGTTTTTATACCTTTTGGAGTTTTTGATTTCACGAAATCCCATTTTTTTTTTCAATTCTTGGGGCTGTTTCTTGTGCTGGCAGGATACTATTCTGAAAGTTCTAGCCTGAATCTATGTGCTGAAGTGTTTTTCCCCCTATAACTTTGAACATCCAAGCTTTAAATTAAGGTCTTTGATTCACTGCTAACTGACTTTAACCAACAGTAAGAGCTATGGATCAAGTTTAATGATTCTGCAGGTGGATTTCCAGTTTTACTGGCACCATTAAATGAGCAAGCTGCCCTTTGCCCATGCGTGTTTTTGATATCCTTGTGAAAATTAGGCATCCATAAATGTGTGGGTTTATTTTTGAGTCCTCTATTTGTTCCCCTGGCTTGTATTTTGTTTTTGTGCCGGTATCATACTGTCTTTGTCACTGTGGCTCTGAAGTATAGTTTGAAGTCAGGTTAAAAAAAAATAGAAGCACTATTTTAAACATACACCATTTTATCACTTTGAAAATTAGGGTTTGGGGCAACATGGTTTGGAAAATGGTACGCTACACAGAAAAACCTCTAACTTCCTCTTCTCTGGAAAGTATTCATTAGGTGCTATATTGGCTGCATTTGGTTTGATATCCAATGTGAATTAATGCAAAGAAGCATCCTTTTGATGACCGACAGGACACACAGCACAGGATGTGGTAGAAATATAAGCATAAGAACATAAGATGCTTTCCATAGTTTAAGGTAAGAGAAAGGATGGATAGTTACTTTTTACAATGTTTTGGTATTATCTCCTTTTTGTTCTTGTGTGAACAGGTAGCTACCCAATTCTCTGTAATGATCACTTCCACATTTTATGTTTGGATTCCTGTATTAAGAAGGCCAGACTATCTACATCTCTTATAACTCATGTACTAGGTGAGGTACTATAATAGCTATCATTTGTGCTGGACTAAAATTGTGATTAAAAAATAAGATAGCTGACATATATAGCCATTTCTGGTTTGTGATTAAAAAAAAATCACACACCACATGCCTATATTATTTCTTATATAACAGAAATAAAAAATAGACACCTGACATAGATGATTATATTAACTGGTTCTTATTTATCCCACCTCTTAATTATTACAAATAAACACTTAAAATTACGCTATTGTTTTAGAGCCATTTCTTTATATTTAAAACTGTATCCTTTAACTAAATAGGACAAAGCTGATTCATTTTTGTAATTACTTAATATTTATTATCAGTGAAACACTATTCCTAAATAGATACCCTGCTGTGTTTGTCGATCCCCTTTTCTTTATTTTTCTAACTTATTAAGAGATTAAGAATATAATAATGTCTGATAATATTGTTAATTTAAATATGTGCACAGCAGCTCTTTAGGAATAGAATTTTTCTTAGATATTTACTATACTGACCAGATGCACTACACTGGTATGTTGTAGCCAACTCTTGATCTATGGATAAAGGAACATCATGTTATTAAAGACAGTTTACTACAATTTAAATGATAAATAAAATGTAATTTCTGATAAAAAAAAAAACAAGCAACAGACAGGCAGGCTAGTTGACTGACAGTTTAGACTGTGCTATCTTTAGTTTTGGAACAAATGGTTAATTTTCATTTCCCAAAGTTGCTGTTGTACTTTCTCAATGAAGTGTTTTAATTTTCACATTGACAGCCAATCAAAAAGAATCTATTACAAATGATCAAAGCACACACTTCATAGGCCAGTTTCCTAAAAATGACAAGCAGGACAGCTTTGTGAAAGAGAAAGTTGATATGTGCTCTAATCTCCATATCTTGATGCTCAGCACATCATGTTACCTTAGTTGAAATGTGTTTTGTTCTCCAAGTTTTCACTAAGTGTTTTCTCTTTAAACACTTTTTACCAGGGAGTGAGTGCTGGGAAAGAGAGAGGTTACCAATGGTGTAATGACTGTTTTACTGACTTACACCACTTACAACTGACTGGCTTTCTAATGTCTGACCCTAAACTCTAGTCCATGAATTGAAAGACAAATGAAAATGAGAAGAAAGAAAAGAAAAATCAAGATTTTCCTATTGATAATGTTAGCCACTATGGGAAAGGTTACATAGTGGATGGAAAACCAAGACATCAATGACACAACTCTGAATTAGGTGTAAGTGTTGCCTGGGAGACACCAGAGGACAAAACAGAAGATGGTTTTAGATGTTCAAGCAAGGTATCTCCTGAAAATGTTTGAAGCAATGGGAAATTTCCTTGGCCATTTAAGGTGTATGACAGACATGATGTTTCCATATTTGTAAGAGAAGTCATAGCAAGCTCCAAGGTGCACTTTCTAAGGTTGAACAAAGGGTTGGTGTTTATGGCTCCTTTGGCCTAAGACTTCAGGGCTTGTAGAACTCAGACTATGGAGAAATCTAAGATGGGTTTTCTTACTGACTACTGCTAAGCTGGTCATTGTGTGAGCTGAAGAGATTCTCATAAAGGCAATTAAATGAGTCCACAGCTGTCATGGCCAGATCATGCACATGGCCCAGACCCATCTCTTTGCAAAATTTGTGGGTCAGAGAGATTTCTGAATGGGGTGTAGAGGAATAGGGAGAGATTCCTGAATGGTGGACTGTAGCTGAAAGTTTTCCTGTGTCCTGCCCAGTCGGCAGCCACTCAGACCCAAATAAACACACACAGGCTTATAATATTTTAAACTATTGCCATGGCAGGCTTCTTGCTAGCTAGATCCTATATCTTAAATTAATTCATTTCTATAAATCTATACTTTGCTACATGGCCTGTGGCTTACCAGTATCTTTACATCTTGCTTCTCCTGGTAGGGGCTAGCAGTGTCTCTCCTCTCCTTTTTTCTTTTCAGAGTAGATTCAATAATCTACCCTTATCATGTCTATAGCCTATATTTCCATATCATATCCTCCTTTCTTCTTTAGAAGGATATTGACTATGACCAATAACAATTTGTAAGCAACAACTTAAACCAAGACAAACATCCATAATCCATTTTTGGGGGAATGTGGACATAATATTCTAGGCTACTTCCTGCTGATAAAGGGTACTGTATTCTTATGGGGATCCTGAGAAACTTAAGAATTCTGATCAAGTCCTGACTTGAATAGTCTGTGAGGCTGCATTGTCTGAGCCAATTGCCTTGAAATTGTTCTGAATGTTTGATCATCTGAGCCATGGTATCATCAGGGACCTTTCAGGGGTCTTGGCTGGTCAAGCAATATTAGCCTGGAAGTAATCCACAGGTTCTCATTTTCTGTGGAAACAAAAGTAGAACCTCTTTTCCAAAGCAACTTACCCTTAGACATAAATTTTGAAATTGAGATAACCTTTAAAATATATATATATATTGATTTAACTCAGCAGTTTTTATAATCAAATACCTTTCTGCAGTTAAAAAATCCTAAAGATAATATAATCCAGACTCTCCATAATTTCCATCTTTAGATGGCTTATTTTTTTATATTACTTTTACTGTCTCTTTAAAAGACTTTATTTTTTAAAACTATTTCTTTATATAACTGTCTATATTCATTTTCCTCTGTCTTCCAAGACTACATACATTTTTAAACACATTGTAAACTGTTTAGGGTTTATTAATCTGAATCTGTTTTATTGTGAATCTATTGCTTTTAATTGCAGCATTACTAGGACTAAAATAGCAGCTTTAGCTGCTGGCTCTACCCATCTCAGGTTTCCAACATTCACATGTTTACCTCCAGCTTTAGGGGAACCATGCTCATTGCTGGACTCTGGGACGCAGTGGGTCGATGCCTTCATCTAGCAGCATGTAGCCCCCAAACCATTTTTTTGTACTAACAAAAGCTAAATCCACCATGCAGTGTGCTACGCAGCTCTCAGACACCACTGTGTACAGTGGCAGGAATCCACCATTCTGCACTCAAGCCTATATGCCATGAACCCGCCATACTGTAGCTCAAGTCTGCAGGTCGGCATCTCTGTATCACAGCTTTTCTGAAAGACACAACTAGAAAGTTGCTCTTGACTCTGTTTTAGAACCTTTTATTTTAAAACTTTCTCACCTTTTGGGTGGAAATTCTTGCTTCATGTCTGGGTGCCAGTGGACTGTTCTCTACCAGTCACAATGTAATCAATCCATGCAAGTCCTAGATTCATCATTTGTCCCTGACATTCAGCCAACTCCTTTTTCCTCTGTAGCTAGAGTTATTCTCTTTTGACCACCCCAACATTCACCATATTTATTTTAAGAAAAGTCAATGTTGGTTTTTTCAGTTTGCACAAAAACTTTGGAAGCAAAGCCTCACTGTGATTATTCTGCAAGTACCTAACAGGGTTATTTGTTGGGGCTTAAAACACAAAGGCTGACATTCCTTCTGTGTAGAGGGAGCCAAAAATATATATGCCACAACTATATATTTTTTGGCTAGTAAAATAACCTTTTAATTCTTTGAAAACAAAAAGCTTATGTACATGCATAGACACACACAGAAGCACAGACGTACACAAAAGCACTGGCTGATTTTTGATCATTTACTCATTAACCAGAAGAATAAAACCCCCACTAGAGTAGGAATCAAAGTAGGAATCACAGTATGAATCAAGAGATCCCTAAATAGATAAAAAGAGGGCTTAATGTTAATTGGAGGCTAAAGTATTCATCAGAACTTTACTATGGCTAGGAAGAGAGATGCTGAGACCAGAGCTGATTCAGTCACCCCTCTCCTTAGGTGCTCTCCCCAAACAAAGTAGTATTGGCCTTTTCTCAGATTCCTTCTTAAGGATAACAACAGTAACATTGACAGCTCTATTTAATTGAGTAATAAGTCTAGGCACCTTAAAGGACAATGAAGTATTTTACATATGTTATTTCTGTTATTCACTATAAATCAAAAGTGTGTCTGTATTGGCTACTTTTCTATTGTAATAAAACACCATGATCCAGGCAACTTATAAAGGAAGATTTTATTTGGCTTATGGTTCCAGAGAGTTCAAGTCCATGATGTTGGCAGACATGGAATTCCATGAGAGGAGACATGGTGGCAGGAACAGGAAAACAAAAGCTAACATTGTGTACCACAAGCACACAACCAGACAGATCAAAGTCAAAAATGCCGAGAGTCATTTTTCTCTTAAAACCTTCATCAAGCCAGGTGGAAGTGGCACATGCCTTTATTCCCAGCACTCTGGAGGCAGAGCCAGGTGGATCTCTGTGAGTTTGAGGCCAGCCTGGTTTACAGAGTGAGATCCAGGACAGGCACCAAAACTACACGGAGAAACCCTGTCTTGAAAACAACAACAACAACAAATCAAAACAAGAAAACCCTGGATCCAATGACACACTTCCTCCATCAAGGCCATACCTCCAAAACCTCTCAAACTGGGTGATCAATCCGAGACCAAGTACTCAAATCCAAAGACTATGGCGGACATCTCATTCAAGGTCTCTTTCTATTTTTTTCCCTTCAGTGTGCAGCTTCTGAATGCTGTGCAACTCGATCTGACTACATAATAACCAGAAGTATTAAAGCAGAACAGAGTCAAGTTTGTAGCAAGAATCTTAGAGAGTCTTATTAATAAAATCAAACCCAGGGCCAGTTATTGGGGTGAAATGCTGGATGGTCAGAGAGACAGAACAAGCCACAGCTAACCTCACCTGGCCAACTTCTCAGCTGGTCTTGTTTCCTCAGACTGGAAGCCTCTGTGTCCTCATATCCAAATGGCTCTCAGCTGAACTGTGCTGCTAGAAGCCTAAAAGCTTAACCAGCCAAATGCTTAACCAGCCAAATGCTGCTAGTTTCTCGTCTTCACGCCTTATATATCTTTCCTTTCTACCATCACTCCCTGGGATTAAAGGCGTGTATCACCATGCCTGGCCAGTTCCAATGTGGCCTTGAACTCATAGAGATCCAGAGGGATTTCTACCTCTGGAGTGCAAGGATTAAAGGTATGAGTGCCACCATATTTAAGCCTTTGTATCTAGTGGCTGTTCTGTCTCTGACCCCAGATAAGTTCATTAGGGTGTACAATATTTTGAGGAACACAATACCACCATACAAGTTTATCAATTCCCCTGCTTTATCAAGGACCCTTTCAGGCTCTCTATCCTCTTTCATAGCACCGGCTCTATACCAAGACTCAATACACTCAATGGGCAAGATCTAGCTGTGACCAGCCATTGGGCTTCATAATTCCTGGCCTGTATTCTGACTGATGTAGCCTTTCTTTTGCGTCTTGTGGATCTCAAGGAGTTGTGGCCACGTATCTTGGAGGAAATACGGAATATATAATGATTCTGGAGAATCAATGGCAATGGGCCTTATGCTCTCCATTTTAGCAATGGAACTGAAATGCTCCAAAGTTGTAATTTACCCAAGATCATATGGTTACAAGGGGCAGTAGAGATGCCCATCTGGGGGCTACATACAATTAGTTTTTGTAATATAGGAATTAATCACATTCTAGAAATAAGAAATTGTATTCAGATTCATTCTCCTAGAGCAAGGTAGATAAGTTGCCTTTGAAAATTCACAACTGCCTTGGAAACAAATGCTAATTCTTAGTTCTTGGTGAATGAAATAACTTGGTAAGATATAAAGATGACCGTCATAGGGTGAGTATTTCAGAAAATGGTGGAGGGTGCTGGATTTTGAAGGAGAAAATTGAACACAGAAACCGAAAGGAATTGATTGATTTTACCACTTCAGAGGCTCTGAGTTTTCCAGACTCCTTATGTGAGGCTTCGTGAGTGTCAAGAATAAATCAGAGAAAATGTCTTAGTCACATATCCTTCCTAGGTCCCTAGGCTGTCTGTGATTCATGTATTAGTCTTTCATCTCCTGAAGAATGTGTGAGGCTTCTATAGGGACAACCAGCTTTTTCAACTACATTCAGTAAAGTTAAGTGGTACAGAGGGTTTCATCAGATGAGGCATCAACAAATGTCAACAAAAAGGGAAAGTTTATTCATGTTTGAAGCATAGTAATTTGTGGAGAGAAAGCTTTACTATAACAAGAGTGTATACCATGCTTTTAAAGACTTCCTTGATATTCTTTTTGATAGTTATTGGCTTGACAAAACGTTATAGCCTCAAAGAACTTCATCAAAAGTAGAAAATTAATCAATACAAGGTAAAAAATGTATGCAGTTTTCAAGATTCTCCCTCCTTCTGAACAGTGGAATATCCATTTAAGGAAGATAATCAGAAGTGAAATTGTGAGGAGGGAGGCAAGATGGCTGCTAAATGCAGGTCCTGTGGGTGAGTTGGCTGCAGAACTAGTCAAGGAAGCACAGGAGAAAATATGCTTCAATGGTAGACAAACCGAAGAAAGAAGGAAAGGGAGGAAGGAAGGGAGGGAGGGAGGGAGAGAGGGAGGGAGAAAACTCTAGAAGAAGGACAGAAAGTGTTAGAAAGCATAGACTACATGAAGGATAAGGAAAACGTAACTGACATCTTCAACTCAGGCCTCTCAGTTGTGAGCAGTAATCTAACTCACAAAAATTCCAGCAACCCCCATCATAGCAGCAGACCAGTGTTCTGAGCTCTGTAGGACCCATCCGTTGTATGTTGGAACGTAAAGCCCAGCCCAAGGTCTTACTGACCAGAAAGTGATTCATTTGCTCCAAAGAAGTAACTGACTTTGGATGTTTTTTAATTATCGGAACTCCAAAAACCACAGCACTGCTAGATGAAGAAAGTCCATGAGAATTAAGGACAACGTTTGGTTTACAATATTAAAATTACAGGATTTTACCATATAATAAAGGGGGAAAGACATGGAAATGAATTACATAAAGTTATAAAACTTATTAAATCTTCAAGAATAAGAATGTATAGACATCCAGTTTCAAGAGGTTCAAGGGAACCTAGCTAAATCCAACAAAAACAGGCTTTGACCAAGACATGTTCAAATAGACAAAGGATATGTCTGAAAGTACCAAGAGAAGGGTATCAACTCCCATGTTAGGAAAAGTCTATCAGGCTCACAATGGAGTTCTAAGTGAAAACCTTTCAGGCAAGAAGAGAATGAGTATATATATATATATATATATATATATATATATATATATATATATATATATTTCAGTGCTGAAAGAAAAATATTGCCAACTAATAATACTATAGTCAATGAACTTTTCCTTCAAAGCCGGAGGAAAAGTATTTCTCTGGTAAGCAGAAAGTAAGGGAATTCATCACCACTAGTCAAGCCCTACAAGGAATACCTATGGTTGTCCTACAATATAAATGAAAAGATGATAACTATCATCATAAAGTCACAGGAATATATAAAACTTGCTTGAAGAACAGATATATGAAAGTAAAATGAAGAAAATTAAACCTCATCATGAGAGAAAACAACTAAGTCACAAAAATAAACAATAAAATAGTAGAAAGCGAAAATATGCAAAGCAAGTGGGATTGAATTGGCAAAATGCAAGAAGGAAGTTTATTCATATGAATAATAACCCTGCATGTCATGGACTAAATTAATCAACCAGTTGAGTGGATAAAAGAATAAAACTCAACTCTACTGTCTCTAAGAAACTCTTGAAAGAGAAGGGATAAAAAAGACAATTTTGCAAGTGGAAACCTAAAACAAGCAAGAATGTCTTAGTTAGGGTTTCTATTGCTGTGGAGAGACACCACGACCCTGTCAACTCTTAGAAAGAAAAACATTTAGTTCAGGTGGGTTACATTTTCAGAGGTTTAGTCCATCATCATTATGGTGCAACATGCTGGCATCCAGGTAGACATGGTGCTGGAGAAGTAGCCAAATGTCCTACATCTTGACTTGCAGGCAACAGGAAGTGGTCTGAGACACTGGGTGTAGCTTGAGCATATATATGAGACCTCAAAGCCCATCTCCACAGTGACACACTTCCTCAAACAAGGCCACACCCACTCCAAGAAAGCCATATCTAATAGTGCCACTCTCTTTGAGGGCCATTATTTTTTTCAAACTACCACATAAAGTAAAAGAGACTTTAAATAAAAGGAAATAAAAAGAGACAAGGTCATTTTGTGTTGATGAAAGAATCAGCGATTAAGAAGATAGGAAAATGATAAGCATTTGCATCCAACATGGGACCATCCAAATGCAAAAAGCAAATTTTATTACATGGAATGAAAGAAATGTCTCTTCGTACAGTAACAGAGACACCTCAACATCTACTTACCTCAATGGACTGATCTTTGAAACAGATATCCAATAAAGAAACATCTGTGTTAAACTATACCATAGAGCAAATAGATTAATGGACAATTACAAAACATTTCACCCAGCAACAACATTCTTCTCAACACCCATGGAACATTGCCCAGAATGGAGAATATGTTAGGTTACATACCAAATCCCAATACACTTTAAAAGGCTTAAATTGCACTATGTATTGTCATGGACCACAATAGAGTAAAACAATATGGAGAATGGAAGCATAGAAATACATAGAAATTGAATAATGTGATCCTAAATAACCAACGGGTAATGGAAGAAATTAAAACAGAAATGGACACTTTTTATAGACACTAACAAATTGATAATACAGCATTTACTGAAATTCCTGTAACCTCTTCCAAACAAAACCATCAAATGAGGACCAAATGTTCAAATACATGCACCCATGGGGGGCATTTCTCATTCAAACCATCACACAAGTCAAAAATAAATATAAGCAAAAAAATGCACACAGAGAGGAGGGATTCTGGCTCTTCTTTAGTGCAGTAAAGGATGTTTGAAATAGCCACAGGTCATCATATTATTTTATACTTGCTTAAAATTGTGTATAATGTACACTTGAGTGAAGTTGTGCCACTTGAGATAGTAATGCATCCTGTAAGAACCACAGACTAACAAAAATCCCAGTATCAAGCATGAAAAACCCCTTTGAGTTGTTGGTCACAGGAACTCCAGAGACTCCTGGGGCAATGTAGGCTAGTTACTGTTGTCCGTTTTTGACTCCAGAAGTGGAAGGTAGATCCCTATTGCTGGAAACATCAAGCACTTTGGACATAAGACGTGAAGAATTCGAGCTGGTTCTAACTCAAAAACTGCCTCCCTGAGAACTACCTTTCATATTACCAGAAGGTACTATATAAGATTCTAAGGGAGGAAATCAATCAATAGTCCTTCCTGGCTGTGATGGTTATAAACCATACAAATTATCAGCAAGGCAATGTAGCCCTAAAAAAGTGATGGAGGCACCTATGTCTGGTGGTAACCAACTGGTGTCTACTTAGACTTAAGGCCCATTCAACAGGAGGGAAATTATGCCTGGTACTAGAAATCTAGACAGCCACCCCGGCTAGATCTTCTAGGTTTACATTTTAAAGCTGATCACACAAAGCAGTCACCTCCATAGGGTCCCACAGTGGCCCTTGGTATATTAAAGGATATTGAGGGGGGTAGTTAATTAACCAAACTCTCTGAGGATTTTTTTTACAAAATATTAAATACATTATTTTCTTCTGAAATACGATTTTATAGGAAAAGTATGTAATACTATACCATGCATTTGTCATTTTATCAACTTGGCCACAAAATCTAATAATACTTAGCATTTTGGAATTTAAATGTTATGATAGTGTTCTCTGATTAGTGTTGATATACAGGATTTACAGGATTGAAACACGGCAGAGAGAGAAATATATATATTTCTACCACAACCACTTACATTTTAGCGATAAGAGTAAAACTCTTGGTCAGAAACCACATTTATTTTGTGAACTCATTCCACAAAAGCATATGCATTTCAATTATTATAGATCTCCTGACATGACTAAGTTTTCATTTTCTCTCATACTTTCCTGCCAAGATTATAGTTATTGCATAATTACTTGATATGTATTATGATTTCTAAGAAAAAAGTGGTGGTATATTTTCCTAAACGATGTTTAGAAAAGTAGTGGTTAAGCTGTCACAATACAGCTTGACATTTTCAAACAACTGCCTAGACTGAAGAGCTCAGATGTTTAGAAATGTTCTATAAAAAAAATGTTAGGGAAAATTTTACCTCCCTTTCACATTCAATGATAGGAACAGGTTCAGGTGAACTCTTTATCAAGCGTTTCTTTTTTCACGTCACGCATGTTCAAATTCACATGTTCACAGATGTGACAATTGTAAGGGATTTTTCTGGAACACTTGTGTTTCAAGGATGGGAGACTACTAGGTAAGATAATTATGTAGGGCAGCATTGTGACATCACACTTGAGAGACTGGCGACGCCTTTGAGATTTTTTTGTTGACTGAGTTGAAGGAGCAACCAAGCAAAAGCATCATGGTTGGTTTCCCAGTTGTCTTTGGAGCAGGGAGGATTGCTTGGTAAATCCTTCCTTTTTCTTTTCTGTGACAAAGTTTTAATTTCTACTCACACATCCATGCCAAGTGAATTGTACTCCAAGGGTTTTTAAAAATGATGTGCGAAATATTTATTGTAGTAGAATGTTTTCCTCCACTGTTCCAAAAAGCTTAAAGTGACCAAATAAAAATCATCATTCAAATAGAAGCCATTTTGAACAGGCCATAAAAATGACTGATTCTATTAACCATTGAATCAATAAAGTAGAGTCTCCTTCAGACACATGGGAATTACATGATGGAGTTTTCCTTTTCATCAATAACTCTGAATATATCTGTGTTAATAAATGCCTCGTATTTCTCATCACTGCCTGTCAGTAAGGGGAGGAGAATCCCAGCCCCCTGATTTTATTCACTAGGAGACTCAATGGACAAAGACTATGGAATCCTTCCCTAGAGGCTAGGAAGGTGGCTCGCCAAGGCAAATGAAATTATTTTGAATAAATGAAAATCAAATTCTACATCTTCCTTATCTTCTATCATTTCTTGTTTACCTAATTTCAGAGGGACATTCTTAATGACCTTATGTTTTTCTTCTTGTGCGTTGAGTTGTCTATTTCTGGATTTATTCTACTCATCTTTATCTGTCATAGGTAGACTTTTCAGTATCTCATAGATTTTTTCTATAAACAAGTCGTATAATCAAGATAAATCTAAACAATCCGTAGTTTCTTAGTTTGTGACTTTTAGAAGTCAAGTCTATATTTGAGACACATACTTATATGTATAGAAATTTCCAGGCAAAATAACAACTTTAATATGAAGATCATTTCATTTCATGTGTGCAAGATGTGAACAATTTCGAATTCTCAACAAGCTTAGTATTTCCTAACCACCTTGGTGTGGTGCATTGACTAGTGACAAATAATGAATGTTGGTAGAAAACAGCAAAGGTCAAAATTCTGCTTGTGGATTCCTGGGACCTCCATAGCTCTCTGCTTCTCCCTATTCCCAGGGTGTCTTCATTTATCATGGTATCTCTTTCCTTGTTCTCCCACTCTGTTCCCATTCCAGCTCGAACCTCCCGCTCCACTAAACTCTCATCCCCTGTCCCTTGCCCTCCATTACCCTCCCCCTCACCCCCATTTGCTCATGTAGATCTCATCCATTTCTCCATCGCTGGGCGATTCATGCATCCTTCCTAGGGTCCTCCTTACTAGCTAACCTCCCTGAGGCTGTGGGCAGCTGTCTGGTTATCCTTTGCTTTACATCTACTATCCACTTATGAGTGAGTACATACTATGTTTGTCCTTCTGAGTCTGGGTTACCTCACTCAGAATGACTCCACCATAGACAACTGGCAATAGTGGAGAGGGTGCCTGAGCTGGCCTACTCTGGTGAATGGATGGCTGAATACCCTACCTGTCATCATAGAACCCTCATCCAGGGACTGATAGAAGCAAATGCAGAGATCCACGGCCGCATCCTAGGCAGAGCTCCAGGAGTCCAATCGATGAGAGAGAGGAGGGGTTCCATGAACAAGGGATATCGAAGTCTTGACTGGAAAAAGTACAGAGACAAGTAGCCAAACTAGTGGAAATGCATAAACTGTGGACCAATAGCTGTGGAGCCCCCATGGTACTGGACTAGGCCCTCTGGATAAGCAAGTCAGTTGTTGAGTTTAACTATTTAGGGGGCCCCCAGGCAGTGGGATCAGAACCTGCCCCTAGTACATGAACCGGCTTTTTGGAGCCTAGTGCTTATGGTCTGACACTTTGCACAGCTTTGGTGCAGGGAGGAGGGGCTTGGCCCTTCCTCAGCTGAATGTACCAGCTTCTGCTGACTCCCCATGGGAGACCTTGCCTTAGAGGAGGTGGGGATAGGTGGTGTTTTGGGGGGAAAATCTGGGGGGGGCAGGAGGAGGGGGACAGGGGAATCTGTGGTTGGTATGTAAAACAAATAGAAAATCTCTTAATAAAGAAAAACAGAATTCTACCTGTGAACATACAATTTTCTTTTTGGTGAAAGTTGTTCCAGTTGCCTTTCTGTTGCTATGACAAACAGTATGTCCAAAAGAACTTTGGGAGGAGAAATGGGTTTATTTTAGACAGCAGGTTATAAGCCCTTATCAAAGGACACCAATGTAGGAGCTTAAGGTAAGAACTTGGAGGCAGGAACTTCATTAAGCAGAGACTAGAGAGGAGTGTTGCCCACTGGCTTGCCCGCCTCACCCCCTTGCTTGCTCAGCTACTTTCCTTCTAGAGTCCAGACTCACCTGTTCAGGTATGGCCCCCTACATCAATTAACAAGCATGCCCCGAAGTGAACTTTATCTATTGTAAGATGCCACGATTTTAGTGTGTCCCCTACAAATTTAGGTGTTGAAATTTAATGACAAATGATGAGATAGGACCTTCAGAAGGTGAGTTGGCCATAAGAACTCTTCCCTCTTAAGTGGAAGGTTGTTAAAAAACAAGCAAGCAAACAAACAAACAAACAAACAAACAAACAAACAAACAAACAAGCTCCCGTCAGCCATTGGCCAGTCTGTTATTTCAGCCTTGGCTGTGCTGGGACACAGCATCATCTTCTCTGTGGAATGCAGCAGTGAGGTGCCATCGTGGAAGTGAGGCTCTGTCCTTCCCCAGACACCTAACCCCAGCAGCTGGATCTTGGACTTTCTGGCCTCTAGACCTGTGACAAGAAGATTCTGTTCTTTCTGGATGACCTACTTCGTGATATTTTGTGGTCACAGCACAAATGAACAAGACACTAGCAGGTGGAAGTAGTCTCCTAAAGTTGCCTTCAAAGTGCTTTATGTTTTTGAGTTTCACATTCGCAAGTCTGACTACCTCAAAATGAACATCTGTGGATGGACACTGTAGATGGTCATTTACCTCTCCCTGTGCCAGGGATACCCATGCAAAGGGCATTACTGTGTCCATCATGGAGTTTCTTGTACCTTAATCAAAACGCAGTTAGGTGTGTATATGCACGTGTAGGGGTGTGTTTCCAGAAGTCCATGTCCTGTCCCTTGGTCTAACGTGTGAAAGCACACTGTAGGGATTGGCATAGCTTTGGCAGAGGTCTTAATGTCAGGTAAATCTTTCAAATTGGTTTTGTATATTATACATCCTTTTCATTTCATTTAAAATTCTTTATTTGTGCACATGTGTGCATACCCATGTACATGTATGTGGAGGCCAGAAGAGAACTTTGGGTGTCCTGTTCAATCAGTCTCTGTCTTATTCCCTTGATATAGTCTTTTACTAAACTTGGAGCTTGTTCTTCTTCAGTGAGGCTGACAGCCAACAAAGCCTTGTCATCATCATCCAGCCCCCACCACCCATGCATGGATATACCCAGCTTTTAGGGTGAGTGTTAGGGATCTGAACTTAGGTCCTCATCCTTGAGCAGCAAGTGGCCTTATCCACTGAACCATCTCTCCAGCCCCTCCCCCATATATTTTGAGGAGTCATCTTTCTCTTAACTGGTCTGGCTGTTTTACCTAGACTAGCTAGCCAGCAAGACTCCAGGACCCACCTGTCTCTGCCTGTCTAGAGCTAGTGGTCCTGGGTTCTATAAGAAAGCGGACTAAGAAAGCCCTTGGAAGCAAGCCAGTTAGCAGCACCCCGCCATGTCCTGTGCATCAGCTCCTGCCTTGAGGTTCCTGCCTTGTTTGAGTTCTTTCCTGGCATCCCTCAGTGGATTGTGATATGTAAGCCAAACAAGCCCTTTACACTGCAACTTGCTTTGGTCATAGTGCTTCATCATCGTCGTAACAGTAACTCGAATGAGAACAAAAACCATCAACCACAATAAAAATTTCCTCTTCGGAAGTTAATTTATCTCAAATATCACTTACAGTGATTGGATGCCAACACACTGTGTATTTTTTTTTTTTGAGACAGGGTTTCTCTGTGTAGCGTTGGAGCATTTTCCTGGAACTCACTCGGTAGCCCAGGCTGGCCTCGAACTCACAGAGATCCACCTGCCTCTGCCTCCTGAGTGATGAGATTAAAGGTATGTGCCACCGCTGCCTGGCCACACTGTGTATTTTTATAGCTCCTTTTTTTTCATATTATCTGTGTCTCCTGTAAATAGATGATAGTTGGCATTGTTTTTAAACCTAGAAATCTCTGTCTTATAATGAAGACTATTATTTTATAATTAATTTTATTTTATTGAAATTAACCAACTTAAAATTTGGGTTTGTTTTGCTATTTTGTTTGTTTTTTGTTTTTGTTTTTATTTTTTTGTTTGTGTGTTTGTTTTTGTTAGGGGTTTTCTCTGTGTAACAGCCCTGGCTGCCCTGGAACACACTTGTAGACCAGGCTGATGTCAAACTCACAAAGATCCCTCTGCCTCTGCCTCCTGAGTGCTGGAATTAAAGGCATGTGCACTATCAGCTAGTATTTATTTTGTTTAATCAAATTCTCTATATCTCTGCCTTTTTCTAGGTTTGTGATAAATATTTTTGAGAATTTTAATTTGATCCATGTTTTGATTTTAACTTTAAGTTTTATTTTTTAATAATGGAGCTGAGTTAATATACAACTTTAAATTATTTTATTTTTCAAATACTAGATATTCACTAACAAATATTATGAAAAATTTAAATGTGATTTGTGCAATTTTGGAATTATAATTTGCTGTTATAAGTGGTATAAACTTTGTAAAGTTTTGTTGCTGGTTTTTTGCTTTAAGAAACTGGAAATTTAAAATAATAAAAGCATGTAACCCAAGCAGAAATGGAGAAAAAGAAAAGCTCTTGGATTCTACTCAACATCATTCTCTTCAGCGAGAATATTTTCATCCTGAATTTCACTTT